TTTGGGTCTCACACCATACAGAGAAAACCCAACTAAGCAACAATTTGGAAGGCTTAAGTGAGCACATACACTTAATGGGCCAAAAGCCCAATACGAGCTGGGCTAATTAGATTGGCTTGAATGGGGCGAATCTGAGATATGAACCAGCCTTAAAGGATAAGGGAAAGTCTCGATCCACTCAGTAAGAGTTCAGATTTGAATATGATTCAAAACTGGAAACTCCTAATCGAATTAGGAGGGCTGATCATGATCTGCAGATTAGATAAGGACTCTACCTTAACACTTAAAGGGATAAACATCTCCTAATAGGATTAGGAGTTGATCCCTTTAGGGTTATAAAAGGAGGGGGCGGCAGCCTCTAAACACACTCATCTGAGATACAGATACAACACAGAAGAGAGAAATCAGCATACAGTGAGACTGTGCCAATTTCTCCCTGTCGCCTCCCTCCTGTCGCCACCGCCATTAGCAGTTCATCTCCACTCACGTGGGAGTCATCAAGAAGCGTTCTTGATTTCAGTTCTTTGTGAAAGAATTGAAAAGAAGTTATGCTCACCTGCCGTCCAGTCGGTTCTTGCGAAGGATCCAGTTCTTGTGAAGAGCGTTGTTGATTCTGCTCCGTCCTATACTGCATCATCTTCAGTGGGAGCAGTCTTTGGTGACTTTTCTGGGCGTGAACACCTTCGTTGGGGGATACTAATTCTCCATATCAGGTATTTCCCTCTCCTACTGTTTTGTTTAGATTTGGTTCAGTTCTTGATTCAAGATTGATCCTTAAAAAATTAGTTTTCTAAAATAGGGAATGCGATTCCTAATTGTAGGAAGGAAAGAAATTTTTAAAATTCGCCCATTTCTATTCCGCTTTATCCGAGCGTTCATACGATGGATCTTTCCATTCCTTCAAGATTATCCTTGATATCTATAATTAACTATGATAATAACAGTTTAAAACTTTATTTTATGWTATAATCTTAATAAAAATGATAGTAAATAATAAATTGTTCATATGTTGATAAAACAAGTATTTTTAAATAAAATGAACCGGTCCTCAATCGATTAAAATCGGTTCAATAATATAGACCTTGAACCTAACCAATTTTAAATTGGGATAATTGGGTCTAGCCCAATTAGATGTGAGTATACTTAAAATCTATAATTACCTATGATGATAATAACTTAGAATTTCATTTTTTATGATATAATTTTAATAAAAATGATAGTAAAATGGTAAACTATTTATATGTTGAAATAAGTGTTTTTAACTAAAATTATCTTATATATTGTCTATGAAATTTACTCTTTTAGACAAATTATAACAAAAATTGTAATACAACCAGGAGACCTTTGTATATTATTTACTATATAATTGGTTTGGGTCTTGACCATTTGGAAACAGCAATAACCAGCCCTGACCCGATTATTAATTAGGGTAAAATATAAAAATCCTCCCTAAGTTTTCTGACAATCATAGAAACCTCCCTTGTATTTTAACTTTAACAAAAACCTCCCCTAAAATTTTGAGAAAATGTACAAATACCTCCCCTCCGCTATCTTTTCCAATGGAAAAAGAGAACTGATTTTTTTAAATACCAATTTTATCCTTGAAATTGTCCATTTAGTGTTAATTTCCTAAAATACCCCGAACCAAGGACTATCCAGTCAAATGGTCCTATGCACTTACTTTTCACTTTCCCTGAAACCTCATTGTAGACAAAGTTCAGCCACCGAAGAAGAAGCAAATTTTAGATTTTTTTTGGTATTTAACACAATACACTAACTTTTCAACATAGGTGGAAATAGCGGAACTCGAACCTGCRTCACTGCTGGACTACCCAGTTAACATGCCAACTAAGCCACCACTCAGTTGGCACAAATTTCAGATTTGAAGTATTGCAATAAAGGCTGGCATTTGAAACTTCTCTTTCACTACAACTCTATTATTCAATCATTTTCTTCTCCTTATCTTATCCATGCCTTTAGGCTGCGTTTGGAAAATTGAGTGTAAATCCCGGTTCAGGGTAAATTTGCACTCTGGTTCACTTTTACCTATATTTGGCAACATTACATTTTTGCATTGACAAATGACTGATAAATGCAGATTTACATTGACAGTAAGATGTAAAAGTACATCAATAAAAAAGAAATAAATTTGCATTCAAGTGGGCTTTTGATAAAAAAAAAAAAAGCATGTGCTTTATTGGATTTCGTATTTGCATCCATTACCACTAAAAATCTCTTTGGTAAGAAGATAAATTTGTCAATGCAAAACTAACCCAACTTTACAATTTATATAAACTGTTTTACACTCTACATATTTGCATTGTTTCCAAACACAACCTTAATTCTTCGTAACAAAAACAATAATACCACTTCCTCATTCCCATCTTCTTCAACATTCAAATCCATGACTCTAGAGACAGACATGGTTTGAACAAGTACAACAACCAACGAAATGGGTAATATATCCAATGTTGGCGTCTTAGCTTTTGAGATCAGTGGGCTAATGTCCAAGCTTGTCCAGCTCTGAAAATCCTTTTCATGCAAGAACCCCATTTGCTTCAGACACGAATCACTTGCTCTTGGTGTTGATGCTAGGGATGACTACTAAGGAATGCTGTCAACTAGCATAAGATGTTGCTAGGGGCTAGACTGAGAGGAGTTGGATGTTGGGGAATTGACCTGATGCTTGCTGGAGAATGGAGAGATGCATTAGAAAGGATTCTGAGTTTATTACCACCATTAACACATAACATGCACTCTATTTTGTGAACCAGTCAACAACCAAGGCTGTCATCACCGAGCTGTTTGTGGGTCTGGATTTACATAATAGAGATTTGAGAGAGAAATGAATGCTAATGCCTTCTTTGAGTGCTCCAACTTCAATGGGATCTCAAATTTGTAGAGCTGATAATGATATATATAATATATGTTAAGGCCATTACCAGTAGAGAAGYGTTTTCTGAAACCAAGTATTATAAAAACTTTTGTAGGGTTGCAAACGTATTGAATCGAATTGGATATGTCTAGATCCAAATATGATTCATTAGCTCAAATTAAATCATATTTATTGGATAATCAAATTTCAAATTGAACTTAGATGTATAGTATTAATAATATGAACTAAAAATAACTTTGGTATTATATATCATGAGCAAAATTAATTGAAAATAACTTGTACAAAACTTCAACGGCAACCATTTAGTACATACAATATAAGTTTTAAGTATATGTAAGCATATTATTCATATCAAATCAGATTAGAGCATATCTGATGCAATAGGGATGAATCTCTATTTGATTCARTTATAAAATTTGGATCCCCTTAATTGGATTGAATTTGAATTCGAACAGTCACATATTGTTCACAGCCTGAAAACGAACAATAGAACAATAATTAAATTTGTAACGTTATCACGATCAGGATCTTAGAGCCTTATAGGCCAAGGTATGTTGTGCTTGGACAACTAGATATTTTTATGTTGGATCCCTAGACCAAGTTGGAAGAAAATCCCTTGCAACCAATAAAAAACTAATCCATTGGATAGAGCCCATTCCTTGTACAAACCCCTCATTTCTTCTCCATCTGACCACATTCTTGGTTTAACTTACAAAGACCAGGGGGACTCACGTGATGCATGGACTTTGTTAATTCAAAGTGAAACCATAAAAACTCATTATAGGGAAGAATTGCAATATTGTTTAAATGGATAAATTGCTGAAACCTCCCCTAAAGTTTCCAGTTGTTGCTTATTAAACTTCAGAGAAATTTGATAATTGCAATCACCTCCTCTGAACTTTGCGACATGGTTGCAAGTAGACCCCCTTTTGTTAAAATCCTCTAAAAAGAGGCATAAAAACATCCAAAATACCCATGTAGTTACTTTTCACCAAAATGTTTTTCTTTTATATTTTCTCTTCATATGAATTGTTAGCCCAAACCCTTCAAATCTCTTTTCTCAAATTGATTTAGTTTGCAAATTTGCATTTTCATATCAATCGCTAAAGGTAAATATGCAACTTTAAATTCTCTCTTTTTTATTGTTATTTTCTTTTTTAAGTAGAAACCAGCCTCAATAGTAATTGCATGGGTATTTTGGACATTTTGTGCCTCTTATAAAAGGGGGTCTACTTGCAACTTAGGGGTGGCCATGAGCCAAGTTTTTCATGAGCTATTTGAGCTTGGCTCAACTTGGAGGCTCGCAAGCCTAATCGAGCTTCTACATATATTTACACACACACACACACACACACACACACACACACACACACACACACACACATACATACATGCATACATACATACATATATATATATATATGACCACTAGTTTCCAATTCGAATGGACAATCCATTCTGACAAAAAATAAATAAAAATAAAAAAGTAAAAAAAAATTAATTAAAATAAAAAATGGCTAAAAATTGTTGAACCGGTCAATGGTTTAATCACCTAGGTTAACAAGTCATTGGCCAATTCAACGGTTTTTAGGTGTGGATTGAGTTTGGGGTAAAATGGGACCGTTTCCTGGACAGTTTATGATCCGAACAATCAGACCATTCGGGTCAAAGACAGTTTGAAAACATTGACAATAAATATAAAAATAATATATATAAAATAAAAATGTTATATATATAATATTTTTATTGTTATATATAATAATAACTAATTATTATAATTCTTATTTTTAAATATCAAATAAAAAAATTTATATATAATTTTTTATTTTTATAAAACACTTATCTCACGGTCAAGCTCAAGCTGAGCCAAGCTCAAGCTCAAGTTCGAGCCTCATAATTTCTTTGTGAATCAAGTTTGAATAACTGGCTATTCGGCTTGGCTTGGCTTTAATCCACCCTACTTGCAACTGTGTCAATAAGTTTAGTGGAGGTGATTGTAATTACCAAACTTCAAGGGAGGTTTCAGCAATTTACCCTTGTTTAAATTATATAATATATAACCTATATAAAAAAAAAAAAAAACAATGTGACTAATGTAATAAAATAATATAATCATTAATTCATTTTTCCATGGAAAAAATAATATTTTAAAATTTTCACAATTTATGACATTATTAAACCATCTTGACTGCTTCCTTATTGCCATCAAACCTATAATGTAAAATTTTCATATGCATTAACTTATTGACATAAATAAACTAGTAAACATGAGCATGCTTATGCATGTGGTCATTTAAAATGATGGCGATGATGATGATGATAATTTTAGTGTTCTTATAAGAACTCATGTAACAAAGATGGGTAATAACTAAAATAAATTTGCTTTTAGGTCAATTTTAAATTTTCTATTCAATTTCCCTATTGATAAAAGCAATTCTTATTGTTCACACTTATTTTTGTTTAATATGATAAATATAAAATATTAGATATGTGATCAAATGCTTTATATAATTTTTTTCACACTTTTTTTTTTATTTTAATGTATTCTCCTTTTTAAAATATTTATTTTATTATTTAATTATAATATCATTAGTAAAAGTAATCGCTTGATCAGTTCAATTAATTGTTAGTCTAGTTCGTCAATTTTTCAGTTTTCTTGACTTTATAAAAATATATTATAAATAAATATATAAATATATAATAAAAATATAAAGTAATATAAAATATATATTCAGTTAATCACCATTTTTTTATATTGGTTAACCGAAACCAAACCAACCAATTAAGTTAACTGGAATTTTTGGTTCGACTTTTTGGTTTTTCTTGCTCACCCCCTAATTTTTTACATTAATTTTAAGTTTTTTTATCATAAAATCATAATAATTAAAAATTGGCAAAGCATTCAATGAATATGGAGAGATATTAAAAAAAAAAAAAAAGAGAAACCTGGAAATACACGAGATGAATAATCTGATATAGGTGAGTGAATGGTTGAATAAAATTAATATTTAATTGTCCAAGTGGAGTTGTTAATGGATTAGGTTTGGTTCGGGACAGGGTGTACTAATCTCATTCCGATTACTAATTGGGACAATATGAACCAAGGTTTTTAAAACTGACCCAGAAACAGAACCGGTCAGGGGACCATTTTTCAGTTCGGCAGTTCAACCTTTTAGGTCAAACAATTTGACCCGTGACATCATAAATCAATTAAAAATAAAAAATAGCATAAAATTAAATATACTATAGAAAATACAGAAAATAAAACTATCTAAATACAAAAATAATAAAGTACAGAACACAGAAAATATAAAAAAATACAGAAAAATTCTAAAAAAATACAGAAAAAACACAAAAAAATCAAAAATAAAGAAAATAAAACTATCTAAATACAAAAATAATAAAGTACATAACACAGAAAATACAAAAAAAAAATACAGAAAAATTCTAAAAAATATAGAAAATACAAAAAATTCAAAATTAATTAAGAAAATGTGAGTATGTGAGTATGCGACCACACTCCCTCCCAACAATTAAACAAGGAATTGAAAAAAAAAATAATAATTAAGCAAATGTGATTATGTGACTCTCTGTAACTAATTAAGCAAAAAATTCAAAGAATCAATTAAACTACCGATGTTAAACTCTTGTAAGCATTGTATACCTTGACAATTTCACTACCGGTAGTGGTGGTCTGATAGTGTTGAGCTCACAAAATCGCTGCCAGTGGACTCTATTTTGGTCGCTGGTGATTGCCGTTGCAACTCTACCTGAGAAGCAAACTGCAGCTTCCAAGTGCCAACTGCTACTGCCACAACATGTTAGAAATCGTCGGTCGCTGCAAAATAGAAATCCACAGCATGTTAAACAACACCAGCTGCTGCAAAACCCCCGACCACCGCTGCAAGTCCTTGATAAATAAAAAGTCACTACTGGTTACAAAATACAAACCACTTGCTGCTGCAAAACCGTCGTCGCCGGTCGTCCTGTGTCACCGTCAATCACCGTAGGTCGTGGCCGCCGCAGGTCGTCGAGGTATGAGGGTTGAGTGCTTGAAAGGGTTAGAACGAATGAGCTGGGATCGGGGATATGGGGGTCTTTTTGTTTTTATTACTTTTTTTTAAATCAGTGAAAGTGAAATATGTAACCCGCGAACCACTGCCCGGGTCGAATGGTTTAGCGGTTTGATCACCCGGATCAGCGGTTCTCTAACCTTTTCAGCAGGTTTTTAAGTTTTAGCGGTTTACAGTATAATTGGACCTGGGGGGGCTGAACAGTTGCTAGTTTTTCTGGTCCAACCGTTCGGTCCGGTCCAATTTTGAAAACCATGATGTGAACCACGAAGGAGCCAAAACTGAACCAATTAGTAATCTAGACAATCGGGTCTAACCCAATTATACATGGCATTTATAATTATAATAACAATTTAGAAATTTATTTTGACAATATAAACTTAATAAAACTAAAATGAAAATATAAATTATGTGTTTTTAGTACATTTCATCTGTTGCTCATCCATGTTACCCCAAACAACATCAATACCATTTTTTTTCAAGGGTTTTTGTAGTTGATGCTAATGCCTTTGTAAAAAATGCTCTGATCCAAATGTTGCTTATTGCATGTAAGGGTGTCAATGGACCAGTTTTGGATTGGACCCTGTCCAATCCAAAATCAATTTGGATGGATTGGACGAACCAATAAAACATATTGAATTGGACCAATCCGGTCCAAAATATTTATTAGATTGGATTGGACCTGGTCTATCCGTAACAAATTTATATTGGATTGGGTTGGATTAAGCCAATATCTGGTCCATTGATATAAGATAAGAATATATGTGTCAATGGATCGGGTTTAGGTTGAAACCAATCTAAATCAAAATAAATTTGAAAAGACTAGATGGCCCAAACATTGAATTGGACCCATCCAAATTGGTCCAGAACAGTCATTAGATTGGATTATATTGAAGAATAGACCAGCCCTAGGCTTCCTCCTCCTAGCAAAGAGGGTTCTAGATCCCCTACTAAAGAGGGCTCTAGTCTTCCTGCTAAAAATGGACCAACTATTATTTAGAGAACTCCTACCATAGAGAGACCAATCAAAGCAAAAAGATAACTCTCCTCTTTGGAAATTTCCTAATGAAGTTCTTGCCGTAATTTGTTATTTCTATTCTTGTAATCGTTTCTAATTCTTTCATTATTCTTCTTGTATATATACAGCCTTGTACAAGCTCTTAATTGTCTGATGAAATTCAACCCATTCTTTCAAATCTTTGTCTTTCAAGCTTTAACTTGGTATCAAAGCCATGGCCTACAACACCCCCATTGCTTCTGAGATAACGAGCTCGAGCTCAACCTCTTCCTAGAATTCTTCCCTACCAATGAATATCAGTTCTATTCCTAATATTTCTCTTTATCTGACAATCAAACCCAATGGAAAAAATTTTCTTCTCTGGAAAGCTCAATTGCTTCCAATACTTCGAGCCCACAAGTTGATGGGGCTCATTGATTGATTGGCCAAGCCTCCCTCAGAAGTGATTCCAAATCCTGTTGACAACACTAAGAGAATTCTAAACCCAGAATTTTCCACCTAGGTGCAGTTAGATCAGCTGGTCCTAAGCTGGCTTGTAGCTTCTTCAACTGAAGGAGTCCTAGCACAAGTCGTTGGACTCTCTATAGCCGCTAAAGTCTGGAGTGCTCTGGAGAAATCTTTCTGTTCTCATTCTCGATGCAGGGTACTTCAACTCAGACATCGACCTCAAAACCTCAAGAAAGGGAACTTGTCCATCAGCGACTATGTTAACAAAGCCAAAACAATTGCAAATAATCTTTCTGTAGTCTCAGAACCGGTAGCAAAAGTAGATCTGGTTTTATACATTCTATCCGGATTGGGCAATGAGTATGAATCCCTTATTACAGCCATTACAAATCGAGCTGATGCAAATCAACTCAATATTAGTGTTCTTAGGTTACTTCTAAGTCATGAAGTCGGAATTTTACAGCACAATTTTTCTAGTGAAAATCCTAATGCAAATCTTGTAATGAATAATAATAAAAATTCAACTAATAGTTTTCAACCCTCTCAGAGTTCTTACAATCAAGGCAATGGTGGTAATAATCGTGGCAGAGGCAAGGGCGTGGTGGTCAGCCCTCAGGCCGTGGACAAGGTCATGGAAGAGGAAATAGTATTATTTATCTGCTTTGTAACAAACCAAGCGATGGAGCATTGAAGTGTTACAAAAGATTTGATCTCTCATATAAAGGAGAGAACACTTCGCATCCGGCAGATCCTACAACCTTTCACAGTGGCATGTCACACAATGGTTCTATGTTTAGAACCGGATTTGATCCAATCTAGTATCCGGATAGTGGCACCACTTATCACATGACATCGGATGCTGATAACCTACAAGTCTGAACTGAGTACCAAGGTTTTGATCAAGTCAAGATTGGTAATGGAACAGGTTTGACTATAAATAATACAGGGTCGGCTTCTCTAGTTTGCAATCATAATCAGTTTGCTTTGAAGAATATCTTTCATGTTCCTTCTCTTACTAAAAATTTGCTATTTGAAAGTAGATTTACCAAGGACAATAATCTGTTTTTTGAATTTCATTCAGATTTATTTGTCTTGAAGGACTATATGGGGAGAGTTTTACTCTGAGGACCCAGTAGAGATGGACTCTATAAGTTTCCTGGAGTAGTTCAGCACAAGATAGAGAACTCGACAGCATTTGTAGGCAAGAAAACTTCTACGACAGAATGGCATCAACGACTTGGTCATGCATCTCTCCAAGTTGTGAAAAATATTATTTCTAAATTTGGTTTACCTTATTCTAGATCTTTCAATTGTCCTTTTGTGTGTGAAGCTTGCCAAATGGGTAAAGCTCAAGGTTTAAATCTACCATCTTCAACTTCCACTTTTTTTACACCTCTTGAACTAGTTTTTTCTGATGTATGGGGACCTGCCCCAACTTTGTCCAATAAGGGCTTCAAATACTATGTTCTATTTATAGATGCATATTCTTGATTTTCATGGATTTTTCCTCTTGAAAAGAAGTCAGATGTGTTTAATGCTTTCATTAACTTTAAGAATAATGTGGAAAATCTTTTCTTTACAAAAATTAAGATGTTTCAGAGTGATTGGGGTGGCGAATTTCACAATCTCTCTTGTTATCTTGATAATGCTAGTATTATTCACCGCCTCAGTTGTTCTCATACACATGAGAAGAATGGAAGTGTTGAGCGAAAACATCGGCACGCTATTGAGTCCACGTTGTCTCTACTGGTGTCCTCCTTTCTCCCCCAATCCTCATACGCATGAGAAGAATGGAAGTGTTGAGTGAAAACATCGGCACGCTATTGAGTCCATGTTGTTTCTACGGGCATCCTCCTCTCTCCCCTAGTCCTTCTAGGCAGATGCTACTGAAACTATCGTCTTTCTCATCAATTGACTGCCAACTCCGGGCCTTGGTAATCTCTCTCCTTATGAGAAATTGTTTGGAAAGCCTCTTGATTATTCTATGCTAAAGGTTTTTTGTTGTAAGTATTACCCTCTTCTTCGGCCTTATAATGCGCACAAGATGGATTTTTGCTCTGCTCCCTATATCTTTATTGGCTACAACAACTGTCACAAAGGGTACTGTTGTTACAACCCTACTACTAGCAAAGAAATAATTGCTAGACATGTTTTCTTTGATGAGAACTCCTTTCCCGAATTAGCACAATCATCGCTACCTTCCGTTCCTGTTACTCCTACTGGAGTTCTTCTTCCCTCTTTGGGCACCATTAGTGGTGACACGTGTCCAGCTCCTGAGGTATCCTCTTCTCCCCTACCATCTATATCTGTTACTAATGAAGCATCTACTACTTCTTCCTTTGAGTCAGAATAAGAAGTTTCTCTCAATGCTGCTTCCCTATCAGTTCTGTGCACCCGCCCTATTCAGGAACTGTTGGACACAACTCCTGTTGTAGATCCTCCAATGTGCACTCATACAATGATGACAAGGTCTATGACGTCTAGGTTGGCTCAAGCATTAACTACCACTCGCCATCCTCTCCCAGCTGCTATACTATATGATGTTCATACTCATGAGGAGGAACCCTCCTCTTATGGACAGGCTTCCAAGTCTCCTCACTGGCAGGCTGCCATGGCTGCCGAATTTCATGCCTTTCTTCAGAATGGTACTTGGGAATTGGTTCCCTATGATGCTTCTATGAATGTGGTTGGATCCAAGTGGGTTTTCAAAACTAACAGCACCCTGACGGTTCCATTGATTGTTACAAAGCCCCTCTTATTACACAAGGCTTCACTCAGGTTCTGGGCGTCGACTTCATTGAGACTTTCAGTTCTATAGTCAAACTTGCTACTGTGCACATTGTTCTTGCCCTTGCAGTTTCCCGTAGTTGGGACATCCGTCAGTTGGATGTTCATAATGCCTTTCTTAATGGCTTTATTATCAAGACTATTTTTATGTGTCTACTGAAAGGCTTTGAGGACAGCAATTATCCCCATCATGTCTGCAAACTTCATAAGGCCCTCTATGGGCTCAAACAAGCTCCTCAAGCTTGGTTTTCCCAGTTTTGCAATCGTCTATATGATCTCGGTTTTCGGGATTCCCAATGTGACCCCTCTTTGTTTATTTACAGCCGAGAACAAATCACCATTTACATCCTTATTTATGTTGATGATATTATTATTACTGGATCCTCCTCTGCTCATGTTTCTCAACTTATTAGCAATTTATCTCAGACCTTTGCTCTGAAAGACTTGGGGTCATTGCACTACTTCTTTGGTATTGAATCTCATCATGATGCAACTGGATTGTTTCTTTCTCAGCGTAAGTATATTTTGAATCTTCTATTGAAGACTAACCTTGCTGTGGCCAAACCAATTTCTAGTCCAATGGCCACCTCATCCCGGCTCTCTCGATTTAATGGTTAACCGTTATCTGATCCCACTCAATATCGGAGCATTGTAGGTGCTCTTCAGTATGTCACTCTGACAAGGCCAGATGTCACCTTTGTAGTGAATAAAGTTTGTCAGTTTTTACAAGCTCCTACCGGGGTG